CATAAACTACAGCCAATTTAGTTAATCAGTTCCCCTATAGCGCATGTGTTAGGACTGTAGTGGAAACCGGAGCACCCAGAGGAAATCCACGCCAACACGGGGAGAACATGCAAACTCCACACTGAAACACCAACTGGAAATGCTCTAATAAATGTCCTTGCTCTGTTAAAAATATCTTGGGAAATAAAAAATATTACAATTTTCGCAGGCGGGCTCATAATTTTGTCTTACTGTAGATAAACAGAGCGCAAACTGAGGGGTGTGTGTCAAAAAAATGACAAAAAGCTTCCCCTCTATAAAACCACCATCCTCCCTTATCTTCTATTTTAGTCGTGTATAATGTAAAACGTATGTAAGTTTCATCAAAGATAAACGTCACTAAGTAAAACATCTTAAATGTCCTAAAAATAACATGCCAGATTTTCCTAATGCTAAATATATTTGCTTATTTTTCTTTTGATTTGGGATATACAGTGTCTGGAACATTCTGTGTGTGGAGTCTGAAGCGCATGAGTGATAGGAAATGGAAAAATGGGCAAAGCACACACACACACACAGACACACACACACACACTCAGAGGTATGAAGAACTTCCTGCAATAGCCTGAAATTGACCCACGTTTATCATTTCCAAACTATTTGACTGAGAGACTGACTCTGGAGCCATGTGGTTGTTGAGCTGTGGAACCACTTTCACCACACACACATACACACAGCATTACCACAGGGAAATTCTGAGGCGCTCAGACAAAACACAGTGTTCACAGAGGTTGATATTCCTGAGCATTTTCAACAGTCTGGAGTGTTTACAGCATTCAGACAAAATCATCAAACCAACAACTCTACTGTTGCGCTCCCACAGTTGACTGCACTCCAGGAACAAGGCAGGCATAGAGAGAAACATACATTCAGCACTCATTTCAGGCTCATTCAGAAACTCGTCCAGTTCTGCATTCAGTCACCCTGATTGAAAAGCTGTCATTTGTTTGTCCCATGTGGTTTTTAGATTGATACTGCTTTCTGAAATATAATACAGTGCATCAGCATAACTTCTCGTCAATGAAAAGACACAATAAACACAATTAATTGGACACATTCGACTGAAGATTTGAGTTTTGAACATAAATATCATATATCTATACTAAAAACTATTATACGCTGAATATTGTTTTAATTCTAATTTAAAAAAATGAGTGCAGAAACATTTTAAATGGGGGATAAATTGGAACGCATACAAAATAAATAAATTAACAAAAGAATTAATTTAATTAATTATGAAGGGAATGTTCTACAACTCCAAATAAACCTAAAGTTAATGATGGTGTTTGTTTGTTTTCTGTCTTTCTTTCTGTTTGTTTGTTTTGTTTTCTTTCCTGTTTGTTTGTTTTGTATATTTGTTGATTTGTTTTGTTATTTGGTTTTCTGTCTGTATTTCTGTTTGTTTGCTTGTTTGTTTGTTTGCCTGTTTGTCGGTTGCTTGTCTTTTTGTTTGTTTTTTATTTCTTTTTTCCTGATTGTTTGTTTGTTTGTTTGTTGTTGTTTTCTGTCTGTATTTTTGTTTGTTTGTTTTCGGTCTGTCTGTTTTGTCTGTTTGTTGATTTGATTTGTTTTGTTTGGATTCTGTCTGTCTTTAAGTTTGTTTGTTTTCTCAGTTTGTTTGTTTTGTCTGTTTGTTAGTTGCTTGTGTGTTTGTTTGTTTGTTTTGTTTGCTTAATTTCTTTTTTTCTGTTTGTTGATTTGTTTTGTTTTGTTTGTTTGTTTGCTTGTTTGTTTTAGGTCTGTCTGTTTTGACTGTTTGTTTGTTTTGCTTGTTTGTCAGTTGCTTGTCTCTTTGTTGTTGTTTTCTGTCCTGTTTGTTTGTTTTTTGTCTTTCTGTTTGTTTGTTTTGTCTCTTTGTTGATTTGATTAGTTTTGTTTGTTTTCTGTCTGTCTTTCAGTTTGTTTGTTTTGTCTGTTTGTCAGTTGCTTGCCATTTTGTTTGTCTTTTTGTTTGTTTTATTTATTTTTCCTGTTTGTTTATTGTCTCATGATTTGTTATGTTTTTCTTTCTGTCTATCTCTTTTGCTTGTTTGTCAGTTACTCGTCTGCTTGTTGTTGTTTTTTGTTTTACTTCTTTTTTCCTGTTTGCTTGTTTTGTCTGTTTGTTGTTTTGTTTTGTATGTTTGTTGTTTTGTTTTGTTTTGTCTGTTTGTTTATTTTTCCTTTTTGTTAATTTGCTTTGTTCGTTTGTCTGTCAGTTTGTTTGTTTGTCTGTTTGTTAATTTGTTTATTTATTTTTGGTGGATCATTAGCTCTGCTGTAAATAGTTCTAAATCTAAAATGTAACCTAATGTAATCTAATATAACTATTTTCTTATAAAAGTATAATTATGATTTGTTTTTGCACATAACATGGCGGCTGCAGTGTGTGTGAGACACTGACGTGCAGTGTGGAGAGGAGCGTCTCCAGTGCGCTGGGCTCTTCTGATGAAGACGAGGAAGACCTTCGCTGAAGCTGGAATTTACTGACAGGAATCCAGCGCAGTCCCTCCAGCGGCGCACACGCACTCATGTCCTTCAGCAGCACCAGCACTGCATTACCGTGCTTGTCTTTAATGGGCTCGAAATACACCTGTCCCAGATCCACCGTGCCCAGCAGAGCCTGAGAAACACGAAAGAGGACAAATGTTTCACTATTTTGTGATGCTGAAAACACACACACCATATTTCCTCCAGCAACTTTTGTGCAAACAGCAGTGATGAACTACAACAAGATTGCAAGTTCAATCTTTTAGCCTGTGCAGTTTTCATTTGACGTGTGAATAAAATATAAACATTAAATCACATTTCATAATTTTCTGGGTCATTTTGAGGTACAATTCTCGCTAAGACTAAAACCAACTAAGACTTTTACTTCAATAAACTACTAATGTGCTGCTTATTAATAGTAAGCTAGTACTGTAGTTGGGTTTAGATTTAGGTAGGGTTAGATTTTAGATAAAATAAGAAAATGAGTACTGATAAACAGTTAATAACTTAATATATACCTATCTGAAATAGGCAAGTAATTGAAGTAGTTAATAGAGGGAATTAGTAGTTTTTGACCAGATTTGTTTTTAGTTTTTACACATTTCATGCTTTAAGATTAGTGTATTTACAAAATAAACTAATTAAAATGATATATAATAATAATAACAAAAGAAAAAATAACATAAAATAAACCAACAACAACAAAAATGCTCCTCCTGTTTAGTTAATGTTAATCTATTCCAAAATTACCTATATAAGTGAATACACAGTGCGACAAATATGATATGTGTTGAAAGGTTAAATAATAATTTAATAATAATAATAATAATTCAAAATGTCTCAGCTTTTAACCTCGGTTTATTTTGATCTCTAAGTTAAGAGTTATAATAAATGTATTTTTTATGTATTAATACGATATGTGATCGTTGACCATAAATAAGTATACTTTTTTCATACTGAGATTTATGCTGTTATCACATAACAGCTGACTGCTGACTAAATAAGCTTTCTATTGATGTTAGGTGGTCTGAGGGTCCAAAAAGATCAACACAATTGAGAAAATCACCTTTAAAGTTGCCCACTGCTTAGCAATGCACATTACTAATCAAAAGTGTAGTTTTTATATGTTCACAACAGAATATTAATATTTACAAAAATATCTTCATAAAAGAAAAATATCTTTACTTAATATTTAAATAAATAATTTTGACACATTTAATGTATTTTGGTTATTGCCCCAAATATACCTGTGCAACATAAGACATAAGGTTTTGTGGTCCAGAGTCACATATAATCCCACATATTCTTTCATTCAATGTTCAGACACTGTAATCAAAGTTTCATTCATCCCACACCTTCAATTATCTAGAAAAAATATAACAATGTTCTGTTAAAATATATGTTTGTAGACAGATTTTTCACCCTTTGACTGTTTTGATAGTTAAAAAGATTTTTAAAAATCAGCTTAGTATTTTAGCTCAATAGAAGCTTTTCTTTTGTTTCTGTAATGATGCATCATCTGTTCTGGTGTTCGCTTTAGCTTGTTTTGTTTGTGTGTAGCCGATTCACCTGTAGTTGTGCCGCTGCCTGCAGCAGTTTGAGGCGTGTCTGAAGTGTGCAGGAGCTGCAGGCGTGAGCAGGACTGATACACTGCTGCATCCAGCTCAACTCCTCCCACAGGTGACACACCTGACAATAACACACACACACACACACACACACACACACACACACACACACACACACACACACACACACACACACACACACACAACCATGAAGACAGCATTCAATACTAAAGCTCCTGTGTAGTGCTTTGAAATGTTAATTTTTTATTCTATGAGAGGGCCAAACATGTAGTAGCTCCGCCCCTTTTAAAAATACAGTCAATAGTGTTTTGTTTTATCACCGCTCTGCCAGTGAGAGTGGTTGAGCTCAAACATCAAATGAAAAGCAAATGAGAAACGTCTTGAAGGGGGCAGGCATGTCAGACACTGGAGAGCATTTGATTGGTCACGATTTGATGAGAAACTGTAGTATGAAGTGATAAAACATTGGTCCACTTGGGCGGAAATGACAAACTACAAGCTTCACACTCTTATATGAGCTTTATATCTACTTAATGTGAATTTTGTCACTGTTTTGCCGCACACTAGCTTATAGATACAGTTGAAACCAGAATTTTACATACACTTTATAAAAAGGAACATAACCATTTTTTTTAAATGTCTGATGGTAAATCATACAAAAATTATTAATATTTTAGGTCCGTTAGGATTACCTAAATGATTTACATTTGCTAAATGCCATAATAATAAGAGAGTTTTTTTTTTTTTTTAAGAATTTTTTATTAATTTCTAGACAGCCAAATGTTTACACACATTTTCTTGGTGTTTTTTAGCTTTGCTTTTAAACTGTATAACTTTGGTCAAATGTTTTGCGTTTCCTTCCACAAGCTTCTCACAATAGTTTGCAGGAGTTTTGGCTCACTCCTCCTGACAGAATTGCTGTAACTGAGTCAGGTTTGTTGGCTGTCTTGCTCGCACAAGCTTTTTCAACTCTGCCCACACATTTTCTATAGGATTGAGATCAGGGCTTTGTGATGGCCACTCCAAAACATTCACTCTGTTGTCCTTAAAGCACATCTTAACTAATTTGGCAGTATGCTTAGGGTCATGGTATGTTTGGAAGATCCATGTGTGGCCGAGTTTTAATTTCCTGGCTGATGTCTTGAGATGTTGCTTCAGTATTTCTACATAATGTTCTTTCTTCATGAAGCCATCTATGCTGTGAAGTGGACCAGTCCCTCCTGCAGCAAAACAGACCCTCAACATGATGCTGCCGCCCCCATACTTCACAGTTGGGATGGTGTTCCTGGGCTTGTAAGCTTCCCCCTTTGTCCTCAAAAATGTAACACTGATCATTGTGGCCAAACAGTTCAATCTTAGTTCCATAAGACCACAGGACATGTCTCCAAAAATTTGTCTTTTCCCAGTGTAATTTAGAAAATTGTAATCTGGCTTTGTTGATTCTGGCTTGTTGATGTTCCCATGTTGTCACACAATGAAGCAGTGTGTTTGAGGTTTTCCTAAATACTATTCTACAGTTGTACCTCCAATTAACTCAAATGTTGGCAATTAGCCAATCAGAAACTTCCAAAACTTTGACATCATCATCTGAGCTTCATCAGAGGCAGAATAATCTTATTGTATGTAAACTTGACTTTCAAGAAAAGTTATAACAATTTCTTAATAAATCTCTCTCTCATTATTCTGCTATTAAGCAGAACATAAACTAATGTGATTATCCTAACTTACCTTAAAGAGAAAAAGTTTGGTCACATTAACATCTGACTTTTTTTAAATGGTTATGTGCCTTTTTATACAGTGTGTGTAAACTTCTGCTTTCAACTGTATCCTTGAAAGGAATAATACTGATGCTAACATCTAAAAAATCTTATTTTAATTTCATGGAAGCTTTAAACAAAACATGACTTCAAACTAAAACTAAACTACAGGCAACGCAGCTCAGTGAAGCAAGCAAGTACGAATGCTTTGATTTATTATTGGAAGAAGGTTTAACAGAGTTATTTCATGTGCATCAGCAAACGTTCCATTGATCCACCTCATTACCTTTGTGAACCAGAGTAAATCCTGTGCGTGACAGCTGAAGGAGTCGTCCACCTCTACAACCGGCAGCTGATCCTCTGGAGTCACCAGAACGTTTTCATCTTGATAAAATATACAGGCTAGATAAAGACCTCTGTGGACCAGAACAGAGAGAGGAGTCATGGAGAATGCAGACAGCATCAATACTGCAACAGCTACATTCTCATGCTGTTTTTTCTCACCTTTTCAGGTTTTTGACAAATTTGCTGGTGGGCTGGAAGAGATGCCGCAGACTTTTAGAGACAGAATGTTTTCTGGTGTTCGACGGAGCTTTGATTTGTTCTAAACACAGAGAGGATGGAAACACAAGAGAAACAGAAGAGTCTTTTCTCAAGCTTTAGATCTTTGGTTGTACTACACTCACTAATAGGGTTACGCAATATACTGAAATTATATAAATATCGTATATGTGATTTTGTAATATTTTGATAGATCACAAATTATCGAAATATTACATATGCGCATTTGTGATATTTTGATAATGACAAATGTTTTAATAATGTGCAAATCTCAATATACATGTCAATAGCAATATACCAAAATTTCAATACATCGCAAATTACAGAAAGAATGCATATGCGCATTTGTGATATTTCGCTAATGAGAAATGTTTTGATAATGAGCAAATCTCAATATACATGTCAATAGCAATATACCAAAATTTCGAAATACTGCAAATTACCAAAATATCGCATATTCGCATTTGTGATATTTCGATAATCACAAATGTTTCAATAATGGACAAATCTCAATATACAAATCAACAGCAATATACAAACATTTCTATATACCGCAAAAAAAATGAAATATTGCATATGTGGATTTGCGATATTTCGATAATCACAAATGTTTCGATAATGCACAAATCTTAATATACATATCAATAGCAATATACCAAAGTTTTATTATACATCGTTATTTTAATATAACGAAATATTGAATATGCACATTTGCGATATTTCGATAATGACAAATGTTTCGATAATGTGCAAATCTCCATATCAATAGCAATATACCAAAATTTCAATATACCCCAAATTAATAAAATATTGCTTATGTGCATTTGCAATTCTTCAATAAGGACAAATGTTTCCATAATGTGCAAATCTCAATATACCAAAATTTCTATATACAGTACCGCAAGATATGAAATATTGCATATGTGGATTTGCGATACTTCGATAATGACAAATGGTCAGATAATGTGCAACTCTTAATATACATATCAGCGATATATTCAAATTACTGAAATATCATATATGCACATTTGTAATGTTTCGCCTTTTCAAAATGATTGAAATATTGCATATGTGAATTTGCGATATTTCAATATATTGTAAGTTATTGAAATATCTCAAATAATCTCACATAACATATATTGTAAAATGAGCATTTGTGATTTTTTTTTATTATTTGCAATATATTAAAATTATCAAAATATTGCATGTGCATTTGTGATATTTTGATTTATGACAAATGATTGAAATATTACAAATGTGCATAGTTTATATATGTCAATATAAGCATTTGCAATATTTTGACAATGTGCAATGTATCAAAATTATACATTTTACATATATCATTTAAAAAACTGCATTTGTGATATTTCAATACTTTGTGAATAATCAAAGATATATGAAATATCGCAGTTGCGCAAACCGCAATATACATATCAATATATGCACATTTGCGATACTTTGATATATTGTAAATTTTTGAAATATCTCAAATACACATATCATACATCGTGTTTTGTGCATTTGCAAAGTTTCAATACTTTACGTTATATCGGAATTATTAAAATCTATCGCAAATGTGCAAAACGCAATATACATAGCAATAGCAGTATATCAAAATTATCGAAAATCACATATGCACATTTGCGATATTTAAATATATCGCAAATTATTAAAATATCAAAAATGCGCATATTGTTTGTCAAATAATTTAACAGTAATGGAGGAACGCCGCCAAATGTAGCGAAGTAAGAGTAATGATTTTTCTCTAATAATTTTAGAGTAAAAGTAAACAGTTTTTCATGTAATCAAAAAGTACACGTTACTCAACAATGTTACTCAAGTAAATGTAACGAAGCAAATGTAACTCGTTACTACCCACCTCTGATCATCACAACATTAAACTGTTTTTCAGTACATTTTTTAGTGTAGTATCTTGTTTTAACCAAGCCCAATACCTAAAATTAGCCATTATGCTGTGTGTGTTGGTGTGTGTCGGCTTGGACCAACAAAAGAGCCTCATAGATCACTCTGAGCAGTGTGAACAGAGTGAAGATTGTGACTCTGAAGGCCCTTTTATACTTTAATTAGAGTTTAATGATCAGTGTTCGGAGCAGGCGGTGATTTCCACATAGAGAGTGTGCTTCAGATTTATCCCCGTTAAGTCACACTAAAATAAATCCTCAGCCCCGATGGCCTAAAAACAACAAACAAGACCCCCGGAGTCGCCCCCTGGAGACCGGCTCAGCCCCTCTGAAATATTAACTCCACATTTGTTTTAAAGCGCTTAAATGTTTGTGGTCGCGGTGGCTGCGGCTCGGCGTGAATGAGGAGGTGTTTCATTCAGTAAGTGAGTGTTTACCGTGGCATGCGCAGTGACGGTGCGCCCCTTTAATTTGCCCCAGGAGCTGCTCTAACGCCTCTTTCAGACCCTGCTGGCGGGGGGGAAGACCATCCACCTCCCTCCAACCTGCAGAAACGAAAACAACAACAGATGCATATCAAAATGTGACACGCTTCAAATCACTTTCAAGAACTAGCACTGGTTACTCGGGTGTCAGTAAATCAGTCAGTTTTCTCTTATATCACTGCATCAAGCACAAACACACGAACGCACACACACTGCAGGTAAACAGGATGATGTTCTGATGGTGTGTTGGTTGCAGTCCGGTTCCCGAGGAAGCGGGGAAAACATGGACACTCTATTCCCGGAATGTCTAGCACAGACCCTCTCTTCAGCCTGGCTAACCTCAGCGAGAGCATGTGCGTGTGTGTGTTATGACAGAGATAGAGCGATGGGGGGAAAAAGGGACGCAAACATGATGTAAATTAGAAAAATTGTGTTCAAATCATTTCTGCGTTTGCCTGTAAAGTGGTGTGTGCATGTGAGTGTGAACTGCAGAGGGAGACAACAAGTGTGTGAGTGTGTGTGTGTGTGTGTGTTTGAGCTGCTGTATAAGAGCCGTTCTGTCTGCAACTTTACAGCCTCTCACAGACATGCAAATATTTCCAGAGGGAGTCGAAATGGAAAACACAAACACACATTGAAATTAGCATGCTCAAAACACACACACTTACACACACACACACACTCGACGTAAAAGAGCACTAAAATATGTGAGAGAAAGCTGGGCTTGTCCTCGCAAACACAAAAACAAAGACACATAAAATAAAGCTAGACAAAATCTGACAGATATACTGTCACACACATACACACACACACATACACACACACTTTATATGTATCATCTGTGCTTTTTATTGTGTTTTGTATTAGTTTTGGTGGTTTATGAGGACACAAATTTGTATAATGCCATATTTATGATGACCTAGGCATTGCAATGTTGAGGTGGTTAATGAGGACATGCCGTGTCCTCGTAATTCAAAACGCTTAAATTGTGTGTACTAGTTTTGGTGGTTTATGAGGACACCAATCTGTATAATGCCATATTTATGATGACCTAAGCATTGCAATGTTGATGGGGTTTATGAGGACAAGCCTTGTGTCCTCGTAATTCAAAACGCTTAAATTGTGTGTACTAGTTTTGGTGTTTTATGAGGACACACATTTGTATAATGTCATATTTATGATAACCTAAGCATTACAATGTTGAGGTGGTTTATGAGGACATGCTGTGTCCTCGTAATTCAAAACACTTCAATTGTGTGTACTAGTTTTGGTGTTTTATGAGGACACACATTTGTATAATGCCATATTTATGATAACCTAAGCATTGCAATGTTGAGGTGGTTTATGAGGACATGCTGTGTCCTCGTAATTCAAAACACTTCAATTGTGTGTACTAGTTTTGGTGGTTTATGAGGACACAAATTTGTATAATGTCATATTTATGATGACCTAAGCATTACAATGTTGAGGTGGTTTATGAGGACATGCTGTGTCCTCGTAATTCAAAGCACTTCAATTGTGTGTACTAGTTTTGGTGGTTTATGAGGACACAAATTTGTATAATGTCATATTTATGATGACCTAAGCATTACAATGTTGAGGTGGTTTATGAGGACATGCTGTGTCCTCGTAATTCAAAACACAAATTGTGTGTACTAGTTTTGGTGTTTTATGAGGACACACATTTGTATAATGCCATATTTATGATAACCTAAGTATTGCAATGTTGAGGTGGTTTATGAGGACATGCTGTGTCCTCGTAATTCAAAACACTTCAATTGTGTGTACTAGTTTTGGTGGTTTATGAGGACACAAATTTGTATAATGTCATATTTATGATGACCTAAGCATTACAATGTTGAGGTGGTTTATGAGGACATGCCGTGTCCTCGTAATTCAAAATGCTAAAATCATACTTTGTTGGGTTTTTTGACATCACAAATTTCCCCTGAGGCTTGGGTTTGGGGTTAGTCTTTGGGTGAGGCCTAATAATAAGCATTTTTACAGTATAAAATACAATACAGGCCCTGGAGCGTCCTCATAAACCACCAAAACCAACATGTGTTTATGTGTGTGTGTAACTCACTGGAGGGTGTAGCACAAGCAGGTTCTGATATCTGAGGTGAACTCCATCCCTTCATATTATATGCTGAGACCTGGACATAACAGCCTGTGCCCTGAAACAAGAGACAGATCTGTGACTGATGCTGTATTTAACACAAGCTAGCACAAAGTTCTTGGTGTTTACTAGCTGAGCTACACTTTGTAGTAAATTCTCCTCCGGATACCAACCGCAGCGAGTCCTGTGATGTCATACTGGAGTTGAGTCACGTCTTCAATGACCGTCTCACCCAGCAAAGGGCTAAATGAAGAAACACTGCTCCAGCTCACTGAGACGCACAGAAGCAAAGCAGGAATTTAGCAGGAGTTGCACTGACTAATCTACTAGTTCTAGACTACTACTCATGAAATATGCAACTTCAACCTAAACCACTTGTTTCGTATGGCATCCTGGGATTGCAAAATATATCTAGATTTAAACAAATGTTAAAGTGAAGGAATTTGAACCAGTGTTTTTGGTTCACAGAGTCTGACTAGGAGATTTATAAGATGGTTTGCTAAAACACAATCTTTTAAAGGTGTTGTTGTTGATCCCAGTTGCAAGAGCAAGAGATAATAGCTTGACCTCTTGTTGATCATTTGGAAAAGTGTCAGAAGGTGGATTTTTCCCATGAATCATCTGTTGATCTGCATCCCAATCATAACAAATACTGCAGAAGACCTACTGGAACTCACATGGACCCAAGATTCTCACAGAAATCAGTCAAGTTTGGTGAGGGAAAATCATGGTTTAGGGATACATTCAGTATGAGATCTGCAGAGGGGATGGCAACATCAACAGCCTGAGGTATCAAGACATTTGTGCGGCCCAATACATTACAAAACACAGGAGAGGGCAGATTCTCCAGCAGGACAGCGCTCCTTTTCATGCTTCAGCCTCCACATCAAAGCTCCTGAAAGCAAAGAAGGTCAAGGTGCTCCAGGATTGGCCAGCCCAGTCATCAGACATGAACATTATTGAGCATGCCTGGGGTAAGATGAAGGAGGAGGCATTGAAGATGAATCCAAAGACTCTTGATGAACTCTGGGAGTCCGGCAGGAACGCTTTCTTTGCCATTCCAGATGACTTGATTAATCAGTAATTTGAGTCATGTCAGAGATGTACGGATGCAGTCCTCCAAGCTCATGATGGAGTCAGACACAATATTCATTCTGTCTCCACTTTATATTCTATACTGGAAATTATTGTTGTTATTGGCAAGACTTTAGTCTCAGTAAAGTCAGACCTTACTGTCCTAATGAAATCATTCAAAATCAAGCCATGACCATGTTTTATTTTGATCAAATAAGCGTCATCTAGAAGCCTTTGCCTTTCATAAAAGACACTTTTGAAACCAAATGATCAACTAGAAGTCAAGTTAATATTTGCTGTTCCTAAAACTTGAATAGTTGACAAGACAGGTAGTGGACTAGTTTAAAACATTGTTGTCAATTGAACTAAAGCTGAAAATATATGTGTAGTACAAAATCACATTACATTAGTTGAAGCTCTAAAATTTCTAACTGTGAAAAAATAAAATTAGACAGTTTTATTACAAAAATTCCAGGACTTTTCCAGGACTTTCAAGTCAATTTTCATGACCTAATGTTTCATGCATTTTCTACATATAAGTGGTAAATCATAAGAAAGGTTTAAATTTATTACAGCATATCATAAAACACAATTTATTTTAATATCTATGTAAAATAGATGATTAAAAGAAATAGATTAAGAAGAAATAGATGCTTACACAGCACTAATAACGTGAGAGCATGTTTTTGGCCAAGAAAATAAAAGAAGTAAAAACACCTCCATTACAGTATACAGATATTTGTCAAACTAATATTAGATGATTTTTATAGTTTGTTAAACTAGTAATAGTAGGTAAAACTACTTATATAATAAAGCTGCGATCACACTGTACTTTTTATTCCCGAGACTTCCATTCATAGACACGCGAATGCGGCAGACCAGAAATGCAAGCATGTGTTTCGCATTTCACTGCATACGAAAGTTCAAGCTTGGTGAATTCTTACCTGCGAAATCACATCAGGTGAATGCGTTAGACCAATAGATGGTCATTTAAAATAAGAAATTTAAAATATGAAGCAATGGCTGGGCCCACATGGAAACTGCACGCGCAGAATTCCGCAGATTTTTAGCCCATCATTAATTCTGTTTATTTACTTGAGTAAATGTGTGTAAATCTACATTTATTCTGTTTTTAAATTAATTACAGTAATATTATTGCCTAATGTCTTTTAGTAGATATATGAGAGACTTGCTTTGTTTGCCCAATAATGTGAATCTAATTGGATTTGCATTTTAAACCTCACATTTTTTTATATATTAAGGTTTTAGTTATAATACTTATAATACTTAAAAATCTGCAGATTTTTACCAAAATTCTCTGCAGAAATAGCAAAAAACGTCTGCAGATTCAGTCTGGCCCTGGCAATCGCTCTATTTTATTAATGTCTAATAATATTATTTAGCCCCGTACCTTTTCATAGCGCTGTACGACAAAAAATTCGCAAGCACAAGCTCTAGTGTGACCGCAGCTTAAGTCACTTTAGACAAAAACATCTGCTAAATGACTAATGTAAATGTAACTTCCATGATTTTTCCAATACCTGGTGGGTTTTCAGGCCTGGAAAATGCCATGTCAAAAATCCATGACTTTTCCAGGTTTCCATGAGCGTATGAACCCCGATTATTATACGATATTGACCTTATTCTAAAATGCGGAAGTGCGCCTGTTTTCGCGATTGTCTTAGAACTTCCGATTCAGTCGCCTATGGGAAAAATGACTAGGAATAATAAACAGCAGAAAACGGTCAAACTACTTGCTCTACAAACAAATGTTTGCATGACTATACAGACCAAGTAGAATAATATAATAAGAAAATATCAAATTGCAACATCAAGCAGCGTAATGAGCAGTTTTTAACGTCAAAAAATGAATGGAAGTGAATGAGACCGGAAGTCTCGAGACAAAAAGATTCAAATGGCAGCGCCCACTCGTCGGCGGAGAATAAGGTGAATAGGATTTTTCTTTAAATATGAACACATTGTTTATGTTTTTTTTTTTTAAGTATTATTTAAAAAACACAAACAAAATAAAAAAGTTATTTTTATAAAAAAGATTTTCTGCTTTGAATGAAAGCACAGCTAAATATAAATGTAAATCTAAAAATGCTACTAAAATAATAAAAGCCAATTAAAATCTTAATGAAAACAAGGCATTCATTTAATCATTCATTCATTCATTCATTTTCTTGTTGGCTTAGTCCCTTTATTAATCAGGGTTCGCCACAGTGGAATGAACCTCCAACTTATCCAGCATATGTTTTACACAGCAGATGCCCTTCCAGCTGCAACCCAACACTGGGAAACACCCACACACTCTTGCACACACTCGCATTCACTACAGCCAATTTAGCATATTCAATTCTCGCATGTCTTTGGACTGTGGGGGAAACCGGAGCACCCGGAGGAAACCCGCGCCAACACATGGAGAACATTGAAAACAAGACAATACTAAACCAATACTGGATGGCGCTGAAAGAGTGAATCTGGCAACGTGGACATGTGATATTTCCATTTCTCAGCCGTGTCATCACAAATGTGTGGAACATATTTTCTAGTTGGCTGTTGCTCATCAGCTAGTGTGTTCAAGTGTTTTATTGACAGAATCCTCCCTCACTTACCGCGGTATTTGGTTATAACAGCCGAATTGTGACATAGAGGCTCTTGGAAGTAAACTCTGAGACTGGTGCCACTGCTGACACACAGATGTACGTCACTGGGAGGTTCGGGAGGACCTGAAATAAACAAAACACACACACTCAGTGTCATATACAGCAGGTGTAACCTCAGGTAAGTGTGTGTGTAACTACTCACTGGCATGTGTGTATCCCGTCTGCATGCGCTTATAGAGGCGGAGCTTCCATTCCCATGATTTCAGCTGTCTCTCTCTGTTTGACTCCTCCCTCTCTCCAGGCTCCTCCCCTGTCACCTGGGCAACCAGCTCTGCTATACGATGCTCTGCCTCTTGCACCAGAGAAGCCAGGTGAGCAGCTCGACCTTCAAGACTTAAAACTAGAGAAGATATTAAACTAATGTAACAAACACCTGCTCAAATATTCAGAAATGAAGATGAGTTATGAGATAATATGAGACTAGAGCAAAGATTGTAACTCTTAGGCTGCATTTACACTGCATGCTTCAAGTGACTCAATTCCCGATTTGTTTCTCTCATGTGGCACAGATCAGATATTAGCCCATGTATGTGTAAGCAGGAGATTCCGATTTACTCAAATCAGATTCAGGCCTTGTTCACATGTGGAAATTTATCCGATAAGAATCGAATCTGTGCCCTCATGTCTGCAGTGTAAGCAGATAGATCAGATTTTAACCTGCCAATGCGAGTCATTCAATAAAAACCATAGCGAATGCATAAAATTCTGACACTTTCATTTCAGAACAGACTTCAGCAGAGTCCCAAACCTTACATTTCATGTACTACAACAACAAAAAAGCATTTATATTGTCATATAGCACAAGTATTCAAGCATGTTAGCGAGCGAGAGAGAGAGAGAGCGCGCAACACGTCCAAAAAAAAAAATGGATGAAAAATAATCTGGACATTTCCAAACATGAAAATCATAACTATATTATAAAGTATATTCAGCTGAACAAACAATTTTTGCTCTTAAGCATAAAAATTATGAATGGCATAATTATGTATTATGAATTTTAAACTTCATTAATTACTATAAAATATCTAAAATGAGCCAATTTGATACAAGCAAATTAAAATTAAAAATCATAGTCGAATTACTTATTTTAAACAGATATCAAAAATGACACTCATATTTCACTATAAATAAATTGCACTATGCATGACTAATATTTGAAATATTAAATAATTATTATTTGAATATTCAATATAAATTATGATGAGTACAGCAAATACTGCCACAGTACAACAATAATATTTGTAAAAATAAAAATAATTGGACATTCCCAAACATGAACATGATAACAATTTAAAGTATATTTAGCCAAACAAATAATTTTTGCTCTTTTGAACAAAAATGATGAATGGATTTCAAACTTAATAAATTACTGTAAAATGCTGAAAATTTGATATACTGAATAAAATAATTTGCATAACCATATTACTTGTACTGCAAATTTTGTGCATGACAATTATTGAAATTTTATATATCAATCATAAATATTAATCAATTATATTTGACAGATTCAGGAATTTTTTTAAGTATTTCGTCTTATATTTTTTCTTCTGGAGAAAGTCTTATTTATTTTATTTCGGCTAGAATAAATGCAGTTTTAAATTTTTTAAAAAGCATTTTAAAGTCAATATTATTAGCCCCCTTAAGCTATATTTGTTTTGGATTGTATTTAGAAGGCAGTGGCGCAGTGGGTAGCACATTCGCCTCACAGCAAGAAGGTTGCTGGGTCACTGGTTCGAACCTCGGCTCAGTTGGCGTTTCTGTGTGGAGTTTGCAAGTTCTCCCTGCCTTCGCGTGGGTTTCCTCTGGGTGCTCCGGTTTCCCCCACAGTCCAAAGACATGCGGTACAGGTGAATTGGGTTGGCTAAATTGTCTGTAGTGTATGAGAGCGTGTGTGAATGTGTGTGTGGATGTTTCCCAGAGATGGGTTGCGGCTGGAAGGGCATCTGCTGCGTAAAAACTTGCTGGATAAGTTGGCGGTTCATTCCGCTGTGGCGACCCCGGATTAATAAAGGGACTAAGCCGTTAAGAAAATGAATGAATGAATGAATTTATCCAGAACAAACCACTGTTATACAATGACTTGCCTAATTACCCTAACTTGCCCAATTAACCGAGTCAAGCCTTTAAATGTCACTTTAAACTAAATACTAGTGTCCTAAAGATTATCTAGTCAAATATAATTTACTTTTATCATGGCAAAGATGAAAGAAAACAGATATTATAAATGTTTTTTAAAACTATTAGGATAAGAAATGTGCTGAGAAAAATCTTTTCTTTAAACAGAAATTGGGGGAAAATATACAGGGGGGGCTAATAATTCAGGAGGGCTAATAATTCAGACTTCAACTGTGTATCTTTTCCATGAATTATGACCTGGACATTCCCAAACATAAAAACGATAACTATATAAAGTGTCAGAGAAAGTGCCATTATGTTTTGATCAGTGGTGTGGCATACCGCATCACATTACTGCCGCCGCCGCACTACTGCAGCAATCAGCCGCTACTGCTTTATTGTAATGTACAGCATGTGGCCGACATCTGTAGATGTATGGTTTATGAATCATAAAGTGGAGCGCGTTTGATCACAGTGAGCGTGTACTCACAGTGGGGACTCTCTTTGGCCCCGGCTCTCAGCAGCAGTTTGGCCATGGGCACGTTGTTGGTCATGATGGCGATGTCGAGCGGCAGCAGGCCTTCACTGTTGGGTGTGTTCAAGTCCAGCTCCTCCAGACTGAAGGTGTTCAGCAGAGACTCCACCACGTCCAGCTCCTGATGCTCCACCGCTTCAAACAGAGCCTCGTTACCCTGGAACTAAACACACACACACAGTCTTGGAGAAGTTCATGCTAACACATGCATGCAAGCTGTAAAACTGCAAACACACATGCGTGAAACATCAGTGTCATTTCTGATTAGAGTATAGGATGTTTGAGGTACAATTTCTTTAACTGCCTGCAAAATATTTTCTTAAAGGGGCAGTTAATTTACTCACTGTCAGGAAATTTAAAGGGCCATGAAATCCCCTCGTTTCAGCAGGGTGTTTTCACACCTCTACTTTGGAAAAAGTCAGAAAAGTGGGCGTGTCCAGCTCTGTTTAGGGGGGAGTGTCGGAGGAACTAAAGTGGGAGGGTGTGGGAGTGTCTATTTGGGCGCGCGCGAGTTTCAGTCAAAATACAAACACATGAGAAAGTGATGGTGTTTGACCTACATGGACATCTGTAGTCGAATCATTTGCCAAATGATTAAATGTTGGACTTTAACTGCAGTTTGGCTCTTTCATTCAGGGAATTCATTCATGCCCCTCGCGACAAACACGATATTTGATTCGAGGAGCTGCTCTAAGCGTGTATTTTTCATGCAATGTTTGATACCGCACGGCGAATGAGAGAAAAAAAAACTCTGCATTTCCCGGAAACTTAGATGCACACGGCAGGTAGCGTCAGAAAGCCGCGTGTGTTATTCCGGTCACAAAATGCGGTGCTATGTTTGCACTCAGTGCAATAGTTAACTTAATTCGATACGAACAAACTGAATAAACAAAGAGCACTGCTCGCTCACTTACCAAATCTGTAGAGACAGGACAATCATCAGCAACTAGAGCCGGTCTTTATGAAGAGGAGACTAACGTTACAAGCGAATCCGGATTTCAGCGTTTGCAGATGAGAACAGCTCTCAGGTAAACACTAATCCTCCTTAGACACGTAAGTTATTGTTGTCGAGCGTCGCGTACACTGTTAATCCACACGTGATCCAGCTGAGCTCTCACAGAGAGAAAACGAAACTTAACTGCAGCAAACTATAAAAGCAACACTTCACGCCTGTTTTGCCAACACAACGTGGCGTCTCTGTGGCGTAAACACTGTGACAGTAATGAATATTAATGAAGTTGCACAATAGAGCGCTCTGATTGGTTTGAACCAAGCCTTACTCATGCATTAATGCAGCACACTGTAAGACGTAATAAGACTCACTCTGGCACAGACGTCCAGTCTGCACGCTGGAATACACGCTATTATCTCATGACCGTGACGCAGCTTCAAAAATTCATTTCAAACTGGAAGTACGAATTTGCTTGAAATAACGCAAAAACAACCGATTTACACTTTTTAGTGAAATATAGGTGTCCTAATAGTGTTTTTAGCAGTGTGGGACACATATATGACTGTCAACAGCTCAAACACATGTGTTTTGGTGTTTCGTGACCCTTTAAGATAGAAAGGGGACATATTATGCGAAAAAGACTTTCATGAGGGGTTTAAACCTCCCGCTCTCCCACATGAAGCTTATACGGAAGTAAATGAAACTGCGACTCATTGAAATTCCACTAGTCCTGGCTCCATAATAGAGCAGATTTCTATTGACCCTAATGTTAAAATGGCCAACTTTACAGCAGAAAGAAACATGTTTACAGCCTGGTTCAAAGATAGATATTGGTTCATATAGCTACTATTACCCTTCATGACAACTGTGAGAGGAGTGAATTTAGGGCTGCTCGATTATGGGAGAATTCATAATCATCATTATTTTGGCCATAATTGTAATCATGATTATCAGTCAAAATTATTTGCTCTTTTGTGAATTTTTTTTATATATAAATATTTCCCAAATTATGTTTAAAAGAGGAATTTTTCACAGTATTTCCTATAATATTTTTTCTTCTGGAGAAAGGCTTATTTGTTTTATTTTGTTTTATAGAACATGCAAACTGCACACAGAAATGACAACTGGCCCAGCCGTGACTTGACCCAGCGACCTTGCTGTGAGTGCTATTCACCTTATTCTCAGCTGTCGAGCGGGTGCTGCCATTTGAATCTTTTTGTTGTGCGACTTCCGGTCACATTCACTTTCATTCATTTTTTGACGTTAAAAACTGCTCATTACGCTGCTTGATGTTGCAATTTAATATTTTCTTATTATATTATGCTACTTGGTCTGTGTAGTCATGCAAACATTTGTTTGTTGAGCGAGTAGTTTGACCGTTTTTGCCGTTTATTATTCCTAGTCATTTCTCCCATAGGCGACTAAATCGGAAGTTCTAAGACAATCGCGAAAACAGGCGCACTTCCGCATTTTAGAATAAGGTCAATACGCCTCTGTAATGTTCTACTAGACCAAAAAAATCCACTTGCATCTTGGTAATTAAACAGCACAATCAAATTTGCATTGTTTTTATAGTTATTCTAGCCTCCTTTTCATTACAAATATCTAGGAATTCTAATGTAAAACACCTTTGCATGAGCAGCAAATAGATCTTGCCTTGATTTCTGAAAAGGTAAGAGGGGAAAAAGGTCTTAATCACTGGCTCTTTCGCATCATTATCAACTGTGATTGATTGCTTTATATGTCAGTCAAACCGTTTCATTCTGCTGAAATAAACTCAACATCCTATATCATCAGATAGTCCACATTGGTTCCTGTCATTGTAGGGTTTCTGCACTAGTGTTTGTATCTCACCATGGTGGTTTTGTGTGACTGCTCTTTGTCCGACTGTCCCGGGAGTGTCGTATCATCCAAAACCAGGTTTGCTGTTCTGAATTTCCCCGACAGGTTCCTGTAGAGACGCCGCGCTGCGCTCGGTGGAGACGAACATGATGTGCTGTATTTCCGTGCAATCAGAGGATGAGGGTCTGGAATCTGTTGAGTCATTTTGGATTCGGCCCTAAAAAATTAATTATGCAGGAGAAGAGAATTGATGAGATGACAATTTGAATTGTTCTGTTTGAAACGTATATATTTAGCGTACAAAAAATGTAGAGCTGCACGATATTGGAAAAAACTGACATCCAAATGTTTTTTGTGATGCACATTGTGATGGCGACACAGTAGGCAGTGCTGTCGCCTTACAGCAAGAGGGTCGCTGGTTCGTTCGAGCCTTGGCTGGGTCAGTTGGCATTTCTGTGTGGAGTTTGCATGTTCTCCCCGTGTTCGCGTGGGTTTCCTCCGGGTGCTCCGATTTCCCCCACAGTCACATGCGGTACAGGTGAATTGGGTAGGCTAAATTGTCCTTTGTGTATGAGTGTGAATGAGTGTGTATAGATGTTGCCCAGTGATGGGTTGCAGCTGGAAGGGCATCCGCTGCCTAAAACATATGCTGGGGAATTTGGCGGTTCATTCTGCTGTGGCGACCACTGATTAATAAAGGGACTAAGGCGAAAAGAAAATGAATGAGTCAATGAATATATTGTGATATGAACACAATTTCACCAGATGGCTAGAATATCTCTATTTGACACTTTTCTAGGGAGTCTAACAGAATTCAGGTCAAGTCTGCATGATATTGGACAAAACAAACATTGTGATGTTTTGTATTTCAGTGAGATTTATTGCAAAATGAATATAATTATTTCACTAGATGACTTGAAAATCTCAGTTAGGAAAGAACTCGCAATTTTACATTGATTGGGATGATTTTATAGGACAGTTAATCTACATAAATGAAACAGACAGTGTTTTATTATTATTGTTATTATTTTTTTGGTGAGCTTAACTGTATTCAAGTATAAGTTGAGTAATCTAATATAAACAAATAATACTGCAGACTTTATTGTTCATTCATTCTTTTTTTTTTCGGCTAAAACCCTTTATTAATCTGGGGTCGCCACAGCGGAATGAACCACCAACTTATCCAGCATATGTTTTACGCAGCGGATGCCCTTCCAGCTCAACATATTACTGTCAAACACCCATACACTATCATTCACACACATACACCACGAACAATTGAGCTTACCCAATTCCCCTATAGCGCATGTGTTTGGACTGTGGGAGAAACCGAAGCAACCGAAGGAAACCCACGCCAATAGGGGAGAACATGCAAAGTCCAAACAAAAATGCCAACTGACTCAGCCGAGGCTCGAACTAGTGACCTTCTTGCTGTGAGGCCACAGAGCTACCCACTGCGCCACAGCGCCACCCAGTCTTCATTGTATAAAAAGTTAAATACAATAAACTTTTTTAATGCTATAACTTAATGCACTCACAATCTTACAGTCATATGCCTTAAAAACAAATCAAACAAGCAAACTTTCACTCAATTAAGGTTAAATTCACAATGACTCAGCAATGTTGTTCCTGGCCAGCTGTGATTCCACTCAAATGTTCTAAGGGATGAATACACTGACACTGAACTCAACATTGCAGATCCTGCGATGAAACTAAAGTGAATGATCACACTGGTGGTGGATGAGGAGATTCCCCTCTATGTGTAAAATGCTTCGAGTGCCCGGAAAAGCGCTTTATAAATGTAAGGAATTATTGTTATCAATTATTTTTATTAATTAGGCTGGCTTGTCAAAGCCAGACTACTGTTATCCTTTCTAAACTTATTATTATTATTCTTCTTCTGACTCTAAAAATCAAAATCTATCTCCTCCTTGAACTTTCGAACTATTACCACCAAACTCACACCAGACCTCCAAACTATTCTGACTCGGTATGCTATATCTCCTCAGACTGATTGGACTTTCGGTTTTCCGAAAAACGTCCCGGGACTGTCGGAAAAATCCCATAGACTTAACATTGGACCAAACTTTGTGACCTCGTAACTCTGCGTCAGACTGTCGCACAGAACTCTAACTGGGCTCATTTAACTCAGACTATCAAACTGCCAATGACTGATCACCTTTAAACTTTCTAGCCACGCCCTAGCAACCACTTTTGGACCCTAGAAACTGTCCCATAGACTTCCATTCAAAAGACTCTCATTGACTTAACATGGGATCAAACTTTGTGAGCTCATAACTCTGGATCAGACTGTCCTACAGACTAATGGCTGAGCTCATTTAACTACGACTACCAAACTGCCAATAACTGATGAGCTTTTAACTTTCTAGCCACACCCCTAACTACCACATACTGCACCCTAGCAACTGTCCCGTAGACTTCCATTACAAAAGACTCTCATTGACTTAACATGGGATCAAACTTTGTGAGCTCATAACTCTGCATCAGACTGTCATACAGACTAATGGCTGAGCTCATTTAACTACGACTACCAAACTGCCAATAACTGATGAGCTTTTAACTTTCTAGCCACACCCCTAACTACCACATACTGCACCCTAGCAACTGTCCCGTAGACTTCCATTACAAAAGACTCTCATTGACTTTACATGGGATCAAACTTTGTGAGCTCATAACTCTGCATCAGACTGTCATACAGACTAATGGCTGAGCTCATTTAACTCAGACTACCAAACTGCCAATAACTGATGAGCTTTTAACTTTCTAGCCACACCCCTAACTACCACATACTGCACCCTAGCAACTGTCCCGTAGACTTCCATTACAAAAGACTCTCATTGACTTTCCATGGGATCAAACTTTGTGAGCTCATAACTCTGCATCAGACTGTCATAGAGACTAATGGCTAAGCTCATTTAACTCAGTCTAGCCAGCAGCCAATCACTGATGGTCTTTTAACTTTCTAGCCACACCCCTAACTACCACATACTGCACCCTAGCAACTGTCCTATAGAATGTAATTAGGTGTGCTATCGAATGCTTATAATTCTAACATGCTAATGACATGCCAATCATGCTAGCAACATGCTACTCATATGCTAATCATGCTAATGACATGCTAACTCATACTGGAAACATGCTAATGACATGCTAATTTGTACAAGAATCATGCTAGTAACATGCTAATTCATACTAGACTAATGTTAATAACTGGCCTACATGCATATCTTTGCTTAGCAGTGTCCTATTGACTTGGGGGATGGCTCATCTGACTCAGACAACCAATGAGCATCTCAATATGATAATGAAGCTCACAAGCCACGCCCCCAAATTGATTCCATAGACTTCCATTAAAATAGGCCAAGATGCATATCTTTGCATAGCAGTGTCATACAGACATGGGGGTTGGTTCATTTTACTTAGACAGCCAACCACATTCAAGTGCACTCTGTAACCTCGCCCATAGCAACAAAACAGAGTACCCTAGCAACCATTCATCAACAGCTATATCTCAGCATCAGAACATCGTAGAGACTTGGAGATTGGCTCGTTTGACTCATGCTAGCAAACGGAACTTCCTAAATGCTACACATGCTAGCAGTGATTAGCTACATGCTAATATTGACTAGCCAAGTACTGTAACTTGCTAGAAATGCTTACTAAGTATAAATGTTTTATCAAGCATGTATGTGAGGCTTAACTAGTAACCAACCAGGGTACCCTAGCAACTGCCTAGCAACCACCCAAATTACCCTAGCAACCGCCTAGCAACCACCTAGCAACGGCCTAGTAATGCCTTAGTAAGGGCCTAGCGACCACTCAGGATACCCTAGCAACCGCCTAGCAATGCCTTAGCAACCACTCAGAATACCTTAGCAACCACCTAGCAACACCTTAGCAACCACCTAGCAACCACTTGGGACACCTTAGCAACCGCCTAGCAACACCTTAGCAACCACCTAGCAACCACTCATAACACCCTAGCAACTGCCTAGCAACGCCTTAGCAACCACATAGCAACCACTCAGGACACCCTAGCAACCACCTAGCAACACCTTAGCAACCACCTAGCAACCACTCAGGAATCCATAGCAACCACCTAGCAACGCCTTAGCAACCACTCAGAATACCCTAGCAACCATCTAGCAACCACTTAGGACACCTTAGCAACCACCTAGCAACACCTTAGCAACCACCTAGCAACCACTCAAAACACCCTAGCAACCGCCTAGCAACACCTTAGCAACCACCTAATAACCACTTAGGACACCCTAGCAACCGTCTAGCAACACCTTAGCAACCACCTAGCAACACCTTAGCACATGCTAATTCATGCTAGAATCATGCTAACAACATGCTAACTTCATGCTAGAATCATGCTAATTCATGCTAAAATCGTGCTAGTAACATGCTAATTTATGCTAGAATCATGCTAGTAACATGCTAATTCATACTGGAATCATGCTAGTAACATGCTAATTCATGCTAGAATCATGCTAATAACATGCTAATTCATATTGGAATCTTGCTAGTAACATGCTAATTCATGCTAGAATCATGCTAATAACATGCTAAATCATACTAGAATCATGCTAATGACATGCTAATTCATACTAGACTCATGCTAGTAACATGCTAATTCATACTGGAATCATGCTAGTAACATGCTAATTCATGCTAAAATCATGCTAATAACATGCTAATTCATACTGGAATCATGCTAGTAACATGCTAGTTCTTCCTAGAATCATGCTAGTAACATGCTAATTTATGCTAGAATCATGCTAGTAACATGCTAACTCATGCTAGAATCATGCTAATAACATGCTAACTCATACTAGAATCATGCTAATAACATGCTAATTCATACTAGAATCTTGCTAATTCATATAGAATCATGCTAGTAACATACTAATTCATGCTAGAATCATGCTAGTAACATGCTTATTCATGCTAGAATCATGCTAATAACATGCTAATTTATACTAGAATCATGCTAGTAGCATGATAATTCATACTAGACTCATGTTAGTGACATGCTAATTCATACTAGAATCATGCTAATAACATGCTACTTCATGCTAGAAAAACACTAGTAACATGATAATTTTACTACAATCATGCTAATAACACACTAATTCATGCTAGAATTATGCTAGTAACATGCTAAATCGTGCTAGAATCATGCTAATAACA